CTAAGCTTCTGGGTGAGGATGGGTAAGAAGGGAGAAGAGGAACCAAAATGGTTGTGGAATCATGATGGATTCAGGCACCACGATAGCAAAGAAGAGACTTTTTCATGGTTGCTGCATCAAATGGTGCTCAGAACAGAACTTACCAGAGTTGTAAAATATGTTTCTTCGATAGATGGTACTAGTCTGTAGAAACTGGGAAAGGATTTAAGGCCCTGGTACTAGATCCCATCATAGGAAAATATTACTTTATGTTAATATTAATAACATACAAATGAAATTACGCTCAAGGGCTGCACCTATAGGTAGCATCTGCTACAGAGTTTCTTATTGTTTCAGAGTACATTAATGCGGTTCTCTGTTTTTATCTTTGAATTCTATCCCAGCAGAATAAATACATTCTGACACTAATTCATATTCAGGGATTTCTTTGTCTCCCTTTGGTTGTTGCCTTTAAACCATCTAGAGGAATTTAGGAATGAAAGAGCAGAGATCCTTCAATGTTCCAGCATTTAGTCTATAACAAGGCACTAAGAACATGTCTTTCCTCTAAAACTTATTCATGATCCATGAAAATTTGATTTCAAAATTACTTATTTAAGGGCTCAATACTGAAACATCTATCTAGTTCAGAAGTATTGCTTTCTTTATGGGCTCCATTCCTTTTTTAGTCACTTCCATTAGTTTATGAAATCTTTACTCTCCCTGGTTTTTCTCCTAAAGAAAAAATCTTTATTAAAAAAAAAAAAAAAAGCTTATTTTATACAACTAGGATACAAATGGAAAAAATGTCTGATTTTCTTCCCAGTCTTATAGATTCTGACATTAAAAATGCTCTATATGCTTCTGAGCATACAGAAAGAACTTACGTATTATGCACAATATACAACCTTAAATAGATGAGCACTCTAGTTATGCAGCTACTTGGTGCTTTGTCCCCTTGAAAGGGATTGCCCTAGCACAAGAGGACAGAACAATTAATTAGTGGACCCAACAGAGAGCAGCCGAACAAGAGCCACAGGATGAGATTTTGTTGGGGGAGGAGGCAGGGTTGTCTAAAGGAGGCTATAATTATTGCGGCAAAGGAAACACTGAAGGAGAAGAAATGTGGAAACAATGCAAATGAATAGGTGTAGAGCTCAGCTCTGCATGATGTAGACAGTACTTGAATATGTATCTGAAAAAAGCACTTTATGTCTGAGATGTTGCTCAAGAAAACGTCCAAGGACTAGGGAGAGCTGAAGGTGATGGTACAATTTTAGAGGGAAATTTGCAGCAGAAACAGAGAAGATAACCCCATTTTAATGCTGGGTATGATGTTATATGGTATGATGTATCTATTTTCCCAGTTTGGGTCATCTGTCCTGGTCATGTTGCCTCTCAACCTCTTGTGCTCCCCACAGCCCACTTGCTGGGGGTGGTAGGGGAGAGCAGAGTGAGAAAAAGAGAAGCCTTGCAAGCACTGTTCAGCAATAGCTAAAGCACTGGTGAGTTACCAACACTTTTTTGGTCACAAATCTAAAACATAGCACCATACCAGCTACTATGAAAAAAAATTAGCTCCATCCCGACCAGACCTAGTAGAACAGTCTAGCAAAATGGAGGCTGAGAAGACTGCTGTCTACTTACTTATCAAAGAAGGATCCCAATGAAAGAAAGAGCTGTTTTAGACTGAAGAACAGTATTGAAAGCATATGTACACATAAACAAGAGGTACTCAAGGACTTGTGCATTCAAGATCTACATTCTCCAACTAAGAATAACAATAGAGTTCAAAATAAGCAATAAAAAATAGTGGATCTTTGTAGATAACACCATCTTGAAGAGGTACTAAACTTTCTTAGTTATGAATATCACATCTCAAGAATTCACTGAAAAATTTATAAGCAAATCTTAATACAGAAACCTAGATATATGGTATAAAGGCAAAGACATGTAATTTTAGCTTTCACTACTTTCCATCACATGTAACTTAAATACTGTAAAAAGCTAGGAATATTTTATTTTGACTAACTGAAATTATAGTTTCTGTGACAGCCAAGACAACAAAATCAGCAACTGTTTCTGCTTTGTTAAAAATTTATTATTTGCTTATATGTTTGTTTCTTTAAAGATAAAACAGTACTACTGTGATTTTACTCAGTGGTAACTGCTCTTAAAGTACCTTCATTATAAAATCCCCATTCCTTTTCCAAACATATTATTGCATATATTATAACTCTCAATTACATTTTGAAATAACATATATTCATTTACAAAGGCTTTAATCCTTAACCTAGAGTTGCAGGTTATCAGGACACAAGCTACAGATAAAAATATGTGTGTATTTAAATATGAGCTGCTCCCTTGTCCAAAGTTCAAGCTTCCATAAAACAAAGGTATCGGAGATGCAATGAAGACAGAGTGGAATTGTTTAATGATTAAACAGAGTAAGAAATGAAAAACTGATGCTAACCAAAGAAAATTTTTACATTATAACAATGTGTGCTCAAGGCAGAATAATAATTTGTCAAAGCATGTAAGTGAGTTAACATTCTTTATGTTGTTGAGTAATAGTTTGGATGAAATAATTAAAAAATTCAAGTAGAACATGGCCCTGAATTGTTGAAAGGAATGTGTTAGGTGATCTACTGGATGTTAAGAACCTCCTTCCCTATAAACAAATGGAATAGCCTTTAGAGTATGCATGTAGTATATTTTTAATATATTTTATAATCAGTACAAGTTCTCGATTACTTCTAAACTCTAAGCTTTTATTTTAATTTAGCTATGATTATTTCATTACTATAAAATAGTTACCTACCATACTTAAGAAAACCAAAGATCAAGACAACTACATTAATCATTAAGAACACAGTGTTCCATTGTCATCAGTAGTGAACAATTATTAAAAAAAGGAAACAAATGACAAAATAATGATAGCCCTGGCCCATTATTCATTAGGTACTATAATGTATTATTTTCTTCACCTTGAACACTTTGTTCTACAGCATAAATTTGACAATGCTTTTGGACTGAGAGGAACGCATTCCTCTCGAATCAGATTTTTAAGGCCCCATAATACTAATTATGAAACACAAAGCTAGCAAATTCTTATGAATCCAACATAAGTTTTTCATATTTTAATTTGTAGCCACCTGATCTTGTTTAATAAAAATTGGCTTGTAAAATGATCAAAATATGTACCTATTATAAAATGTTTCTAATATATTTTAAATAATTTTGTTAAAACATGTTTTTAAAAAAATTAAACATGGGATCAAAACATTTTCTTTAGCTGTATCCAACAAATGAGATTTTAAATTTCTTGAAATGTACTTTGAGTTTCCCCTAAAGGCTACTTTTGAACTTCAATTAAATTTTAAAAAAATAAATTGATTGACAAATCAAATCAAAACAGTTAGTATGCAGATTTAAAAAACCTCAAACCAACACCATAACAAATTTCAGATCAAACAATATTAACTGTGAAGAGGTTACAGCCTTTCTGTCATACTATAACAAAATGATTTAGCTCTTTTGACCATAGCCAAGCAGTTAATATTTCTCTTCCATTACTTTCTTATATGTTTGGAAAATACATATTTACATATACTTAACATTTTGGTTTTAACAGTCACATATTTTCAATTTCCATTTGCTGTGGAAACATTAGCAGATTGAGCCTTGTTTTTAGACATACTTAGGGTAACAATAACACAGCATGTTCCATACTGAAATAGTTCAGAAGATAGATGAGAAATTACTTGTTCTGGCCTTACTGCAATTTAGATTATATGTTTATCATTCATTTACATACTTATTTAACTGGTTTTGAACACACACAGGTGATAAAAGGGTCTGGCACTGCTTTCCATTATTGAGTGTGGAAATTTATGTAGTGATGAGGTTGTTACACTACTTCAGCTATATATGAAAGTTTGGGAAATAAAATAATTGCAAAGTATGTAAAACATTTTCTATTTAAGAGAGTAAAATGTTATAAATACTATTCAGAGGTCCCCTGTTACACGTTTAAGTATTACTCTCCTGGCTTTGCCAGTAGATAATTTTACAAGGTGGCTTTCAGCAAGCTAAGCCGCAAACCTGCCAATGTATGGATTGACCTTTCATTTTGATATTTTTACCACTGCACAGTGCTAACTCTTGTTTTATTGTGCTCGCTGATCCATTTTTAAATATTCACTTGCAAGCTAGTATGTAAATAAACTACTGCTAAAGAAACATCGTTTGAGTCAGTTAATATAGAAGTGCTGCACATATGATAAGAAACAAAACTCTGGATCAGAAGCACAGTTGCAGGTAATTAACCTAGCTCTGTGAAAGAGCTGTATCAAGTTAAATTAAAGGGCTTGTGACTTTGCGACAAAAGTTCCCAGACTGTGCAGAGTGAAATGTTTGCTGATGGTCAATGCACAGCTCACACCTCCTCCTTATTTTCCAGTTGCCACACTCCACTGACAGAATTCTTAAATGCATCACTTCCGAGTATCAGAGGTATATACACTATGTAAAGAAGTATAAATATATACTATATCTAAATATTACATTTAAGAACTATACACACAACTATAGCATTTGATGTATTCAATGCAGAGGTTCATATATATGCAACCACAATATTCTAGGTAATGTTATAGTTGTATGTAATTCGTGGAATTTGGGTGGCAAAAGGTAGCCAGGGGAAAGATCTCCAGGATGGAAAACAAAACAAAAGTTCTTTAACGTTGTCCCTGCATTAAATTGCAGTCTGCAATATGAACAGATAAATAAACAGGGAGTTCAGATTTTTGCAGTGTGTCTTCAGCATCTGATATTCTGTGAAGTGTTTTGTAAAGTGATTATATATTTCTGCAAGCTACAGATCAGTTGGTCTTTCAATCTATACACAACAGGTAGTCTTGTCTTGATTGGATGTCTTGTCAAATTGGTTAGGTCAGTACTAAAACAAAATGCTGTGAAATCAGATTGTGACAAGTTATTGTCTTTGTTGTGTCTTTCAGAAAATACACCTGAAAAATATTTGTCTGCAATATCAGCTGTATCTTCTTCTCAACAGCCACTTCCTTTGCCTTTTAAAGAATGAGTTGGGACTAATCATCATCTTCCTATGGTAACTACAAAGTCAATTTTAATTGGACAGTAAATACAAATTATTTAGTTTTACTGTTACAACTGTTACTTGTCTCCAGTTGCTTTAGAGGGTGGATCCTCTCCTGCCATGATATGCAGTCCCCCATTGCTTCATAGGCCATGGTCTCTTACTTTATTCTGTCTTTGACTAGACTCAGACTGGTTAAGACTGCATCTTGGTCCTAATCTACATAACCCTCAAGCTGTTGGAATTGTTGCATTACATATAATGGTTTGGGTTGGAAGGGATCTTACAGATCATCTAGTTCCACCCCCCCTGCATGGGCAGGGACACCTTCCACTGGATCAAGATGTTGTTGAAAGCCCTGTCCAACCTGGCCTTGAACCCTTCCAGGGAGGGGGCAGCCACAGCTTCTCTGGTCAAACTGTGCCAGTGTCTCACTGTCCTCACTGTAAAGAATTTATTACATCTAATCTAAATCTGCCCTCTTTCAGTTTGAAACCATTACCCCTCATCCTATCTCTACACCTGCTAATCCAGAGTCCCTCCCCACCTTCCCTGTACCCCCTTTAAGCACTGGGAGGCTACTCTAAGGTCTCCCCGGAGCCTTCTCTACTCCAGGCTGAACACTCCCTAACTCTCTGAGCTTGTCCTCACAAGGGAGGTGCTCCAGATCCCTGACTATCTTTGTGGCCTCCTCTGGACCCATTTGAGGAGGTCTATGTCCTTCATATGTTGGAGGCCCCAGAGGTGGACACAGCACTGCAGGGGTGGTCCTCACAAGAGTGGAGCAGAGGGGGAGGATCTCCTCCCTCAACCTGCTGGTCACACTTCTTTTGACACAGCCCAGGATACAGTTGGCTTTCTGGGCCACAAATGCACACTGTTGTGTCATGTTGAGTTCCTTGTCAACCAAGTCCTCCTCTGCTCTCAATCCATTCTCTGCCTAGCCTGTATTTGTGCTTGGAATTGTCCTGACCAATGGGCAGGACCTTGCACTTGGCCTTGGTGAACTTCCTGAGTTTTGCTCAGGCCCACCTCTCCAGCCTGTCCAGGGCCCTCTGGATGGCATCCCTGCCCTCCAGTGTGTCACCTCACCACACAGCTTGGTGTCATCAGCAAGCTTGCTGAGGGTGCACTCAATCCCACAGTCTCTGTCTCCAACAAAGATGTTAAACAGCAGTGGTCCCAACATCAACCCCTGAGGAACACCACCCACCACTGCTCTCCACTTGAACATCGAGCCATTGACCACAGCTCTTTGACTGTGACCATCCAGCCAATTGCTTTTCTTCCAAGTGGTCCATCCATCAAATCCATGTCTCTCCAATTGAGAGACAAGGATGTCATACGGGATAGTGTCAAATGCTTTGCACAAGTCCAGGTAGATGACATCAGTCACTCTTCCCTTATCCACAAATGCTGTAGCCTCTTTGTAGAAGGCCACTAACTTTGTCAGTCATGATTTGCCCTTAGTGAAACCATGTTGGCTGTCACCAATTACCTCCTTATTTTCCACGTGCCCTAGCATAGTTTCCAGGAGGATCTTCCCTACGATCTTGCTGGGCACAGAGGCAATCTCCATCAATTGCTATATGTCTTTGTAAAAAACCCCACAATATGTGAGCATTTTTAAATATATATGCTGAATTATGCATACAACATGCCTCGTTTCATTCTCACTCCAGTTTCCTTTCTTAGAAAACTGGCCTTGCTTCTAAGGCCTACATGCCCCACTTGTCTCTTTGTGCCCCTTCAGTCAAATCTCTGACATTTCTTCTCTCTCCCCTTAGAAAAAACATGGTAAGTGTCCTCTGATTCTTGTTATAAACCCCCTCTTCTTCCTTTCCCCAAAATCTTGCGATTTTTAAGCCTTTGGTTCAGGCTTAAATGTTTAACAACCTCTTGTTTTCAACCAGCTTCCCAAAACAATTGGTCTGTCTTTCCCTACACTGTCATATATTATTTATAGTACAGTAGTACTGAAAGGTATCCAAATGGGGACACATTAAAACTGCAGTTCACATTCCAGAAATCTTCCAAGGAGAAGGAAATCTTCCTTCCACCCTTTAGGGGTTCACTTTGAGCAAAATCTTATCCATAGCAGGAGGAAGCTTTCCTGTATACAAAAAAATATGTCTAAACTGACAAATAATATTTCTATGGGGCTTAAGGTAGAAATTCTATAGTAGCCGGGGGGGAGAGTTTTCAGTATAAGACACTAGGAAATTAATGACTTTTTTTTTGTATACTTTAAAATTATTGTAGGTATTTTATGTTAAGTATTTGAACGTTTCTCTTCCATTACATTATATAAAACTGGACTTTTTAAAAAATGCACTGACTGTTTATACAGTGTGTGACTTTGAGATACAGTTTTTATGTATCTATATGATTTTATGATTTGCCAAATATACTTGCCCCACACATTTACCATATGTATATATACATGTAAACAATGCGTCTATAGTATCTTAATAATTTCTGACTTTTTTTCAGGATAAACATTGTGTACACTTACTGAGACTAATGGTCACTGTTCTTCATCTGTTCTAGTGCTTATGTACCAAAGACAGCAGCAGGTCATTGCAAGTGGGAGGAAGTCCTGAAAGACCTGGAGCAGATCAAGACATCCAAAGTAAGTTCCTAAAAAAGTCAGCATTTCATATAATCATAGGAGCACACATAATTAAATATTTAGCACTGCACTCAGTAGTGACAGGGAGCAGGAAAAGGGATAGTGTTTGAGTAATGCTGTTTCATGGGTGGAAGCAAAGGAATAGAAGGTTAAAGGTAAGTGGAGTTGACCAAATACTGCAGACTGTAGAATCAAATATTATTTTCTTTCTCACTTTTCCTAAGAAAAGGGGCAGTGGTCTTGGGAGTTAGCTCCTCTGGAGAAAGTATTGTGGGACTTGATTCTGATGAGTCCTCCTCACAGTGAAGCCCATCCTGCAGGTTACTAGGTGACTTTCAGATCCCCTGACTTGTTGGCTCCCAGCCCCTGGATGGATTGGGCCTTTCAACTTGGAGCTAATCCATGTCTTGCAGGGTTAATTTTATTGTCTCTAGATCTGTTAGTTAGTGTTCATAATTCTAACTCTTGTTTTCTTGTAGGACATTGATGTCAGTTTATATACGGCAAACACAGATGAGGATGTAAGTAAACTTAAAATTTTACAACTGGTCTAATATGGTAGCTTCATTTCTGTACTAACAACTTTCCCCTAAGGTGGCCTTGGTCTAATCTGACAAAAGCTTTGGAAATCAAATAATTTTCCTTAGAAGGAACAGTTCTGTTAGTTAAAGTACTTACAGTGAATTATGTAAGCAGGTATTAATTATTTTTATTGAATCATCTGCTATTAAGATTAATCAATTAAAAGGGATGATCTAAAATTATTTTATCAAAGCAAACCGCTAAAATAATATTGGTATTCATTTGTAATTTAAGGGAGGAAAAAAGTGACAAAGAAAATACTTCCAAAGATGATTATTTAACACCATAAAATACTAGAGAAGTGTAATATGTAAAGTAACTGTCAGCATCTACCTGTGCATTTCTCTGCTTTTGCCACTCCTTAGTCTAGCAACAAATGCGTAGGTACTCTCAATGATTTAGATTTCTAACAGTTGCAGATTACAATTTACCCTGCAAAGGATGAATTATGTTAATTTGTCAATATAATTCTTTATTCAAACATAGAAAACTATGCAAAGTATGATAATCTTAAATGCAGTTTCCATAAATTCATTTCTGAAGAGACTTTTTCATAATCTGTTTTTGTGAAGCTCACGGCACTTCATGGGACACATGCATCCCACCTAGAAAATGAATCCAGCCAACACCCCAATCCTAAATGTCACCTTTGCCGTAGCCCTGGTGGAATTGGCTGGATTCACTACAGTGGCAGTAGCCTGCTTCTGGGACACTGCTTTCCTGACAACACAAACATTCACACAAGGTCTGTGCCATGAATCCTGTACCTGAAGAGTTCATGAAAGGTTTCCTAGAAATGATGGACTGACTATCCCAGTGCAGAGTGGTCTCCGTGTGCATGCAGAATAAAGCAATGTTGATGTATTTGGTGGATCTGGCAAGCCTGAGAAAGCACGGAGTCTGATGTGTCTGTACAGTTAGCCTGGTGCATGGCAGGAAGAAAGGTCGCAGAACATGCACGTCCCTGTCCCCACACACATCCTCTCAACTGAGTTGAGCCAGAGAGGTTAATCCATTGTAATGGCTGATTCAATAACTGGTAATGCCAGGAAGATTTTTCTTAAAGTGGGACAGCCTGATATGGAAGTCAGACAACCTGGGGACATATTCTTGGCTTTATTGTTGACTTGATGGAGAAATTAGCACCTCTGCTTCTTTTTCTTTAATTTGTGAAATAGAGGTAATATCTACTTTCTCTTCTGCCCTACCTATTCCGAATTCAGAAATGAATTCTGAATGAAAGTGCTAGAACTACGAAGAATAATACTAATTTAATTCCACTACATTTAATTATATCCCAAATTCCTTTCCTAATTAATTATTTTCCTATGTTCTTCACCAAGACAATATGTTTCACCTCATCTTAGCAAATTGGCTGGCCTTTATGTCGTTAGCTCTCACAGCCAATCTTTGCAGATATTTAAAAGTACTTGAATAGTAAGAAGAGATATCCAGTAAATAAAAATCTGCCACTTTGTGATACATTATATCTTATCTTCACTTATTCCAATTGTAAAACTATTACAACTTCATTTTTTTTCAGAAAGAATGCCAAGAACCTGTAATGCGATGCTTTTTCTTAGAGATGAAAGTGATTCTTCACGAATGTTTTATCAAAAATTGTAGTAAAACACAGGACGTATTGAACATATGTAAAAATGGAAATGCAAGCTTACAAAACAACAAGGTAAGTAACACCAGCAGTCTTGGAGAAAAGGCAAATCAAAAGTGTTTCTTCAGTAGCGGAAATACCTCTTTTGTTGTGTGAAAGGTGGGATGGTACAGGTGACAGCAAATGGGATCCAGTAATCTATACACATAACAATGAAAAAGCTACACATACAACAGTGAAAAGCAGAATTTAGTGTTTTTTTAGAAAAAAGCTTTCAGGATTCCCAGCAAAGCAAATACTTCTGACTGTGCATGCATACATATGCCAGGGTGTTTGAATGTGTACGTATAAATAACAGTTTGTAACTTCAGTATCTGAAGTCAGGTATGCTCAGACACATGCAGAAAAATATCCTAATTTTCAGAGGGGCAGCTACATGCATCTCTCACTGAAGTGCTCTATCTTTGAAAGTTGATCCTACTCAGAAAGCAAGCCAGGAGCTGCACAGACCATAAATGCTGTGGAAGCCTCCAGCAATGCTTTCTGTAGCCATTGACTGCATTGGAGCTATTCACAAAAACAGGACAAACAAGGGTTAGTTGTCTATCAGAACAAACAGATCAGTACCCTGCTTTACTATTGCATTTTGTTTTTCAGTTGCATTCCATTACATCAGCAAAATGCAAAGAATGTGAAGAATATGAAGAAAAGAATTTTACAGAATTTATACAGAGTTTTGTAAAGGTTATACAGAACGAATGCAAACACTGATCAAAAGACACAAGCTGGGAACCAAGATTCTTCCGTGAACTTCCTCAAAGAAATTAGATTATCACCAGCAATATACTGGAAAGAACATCACTTACACTCTTGCTTACGTAGCATAACAAACAAAGAATAATAAAATTCCTGTAATTCACAATGTATTCATAATTGAATACATACAGGTGATACTACTTATGAAATATAAATGAAAGGAATTTAACAGGGTTTAAAGCTTCTTCTTGATTTAAAGTGTCTTTATGTTTCAGTAAATTCTCCAGAACAGAAATCCTACCTAACTTACCAACCTTCCAAAAAAATTCTCTAAGAAGGTCTCAGGTTATCTGCAGTGTGGACCTCCTCATGACCATCAGTTCAGGGCTAACTGAATGGGGTTTCAGAGAAAAGCTCTTCTTTTATTATTATAAATATAAAACTATCACATCCTATTAAATCATTTGGCTATAGCTATTTTTGTTATCTGAAATCTATCCCTTTACTGTCTGTGCTCCTAGAAGACCCTAGCTCATCTCTCACTTCTGTTGTTAGTCATGTCTGGCAGTTTTCCTTGCTATTTTTTTTTTCTCATTACGCTCCTCCAATGAACTAGTGTCAAAACACAAGCTGAGGCCTATTTGTCTTAAAGGTCTATTGGCTATCTCTTAATATATTTAATTCTACTATTGTTTTCATGTAAACCAAATTACTTGTTTTACCTAAGGATTCAAACTCAAAATTTAAAATATTTATTTAAAGATTCTTCCTTGTCTTTTTGCCCTTTTGCACAATGGTAGCTTAAGGTTATTAAAAATTATCTACAGTCTGGTGTTTGATTCCACTGTCGAAAAACAGAACACGCTTTGTTACTTCATTTGTTACATCTGACACGGACACTACCTTAGTCATTACGGTAATTACTACAGTTCCTTTGGCAATAACCAATTATTTCAATCTAAATTTCAATCAAATAAAAGTAGCATAAAATTAATTCTTTGAATAAAGGACACGACCAAGTCTCTTACACACTTAAAAAAAAATAATTCTATGCGGTAGAAATCTTTCCTATGTAATTGAACTTTTAACTTCAGTTTCTTTTTGGGGTAAGAACTTTGAAGGCAGGAATCACTTTTGGCCAGTTGCTGGAAATCATGGTAACTGTATTTCCAAGACTCAACGCAGTCACTTGTCCCCTGGTAGTTCTGAAATTTTGCACAGTCTTCTTTCAGCTCTTTCTAATGTAAGTGCTTTCTTTATGATTCATAACTATGTCATACCAACTGCTATCCATAATAAGTAATTCCTTCCTCCAGGCACCTCCATTTCTCCATCTTCATTTGATAAATGGCTGAGTCATTCAGCTGTCCACTTACCAGGAAGGAAGTCTCAATCTCATTATGGCAACAAATACTCTGCATGGTGCTCCCTTATTTTTGGGTCACTCCCAACAGTCATTCTTCAGCACTCTGAGGAGCTGAATCTCCAGTAAACTACAAGAGAAAAAACATAAATATGACCACAGTGGATGTCATCTTCCAGGTGACTTAGAGACTAACTGATTGGTAAATTCATAAACACATAGATATCAGGATTGAACACTGGCAGAGGTATATAGAATAAATAAATTATTTGACCCTACAAAACATCAATTAAAGAAGTGGTTATTACATAGTTTGGATGAAGTAAACTGGTTCTACATTTTAAATTTTTCCTTGAAACAATCTCATGCATTGATTAAGGTTTTCTCTTACCTGATGTAACATGCATAGGCAAGGTAACACCAAGTTACAGCTGTGGTCTTTAATCAAAGAGATAAAGGGATTTTCATTGTTTCTAGTTTTGAGGGAGCTTGAGTCCAGCAGTATTCATGATGGGAGAAACAAACAGCTCCTTTTCTCAGATAGTTTTCTTTACCTTGGTCATTGTGAAAATCGGTTACCTGATTAATTTTAGTCTGGTTTTCATTAAATCATTTACCAGTGGCAAGTAGGTTGAATACTGTGAATTTGTCTTTCTGAAAGAATAATGCTAAGTCTGTGACCACTCAGCTTGACACTCTGTTAGCCACTTTCTTGACCACTTCTCTTTTATTTTGTTTCACCTCCACTTGTTCCAGTTGCATGTTCTAGAACCAAGAAAGGCCATTTGCTAATCTAATTTTCCAGTATTTCTCCTGGAGTTTTCCTTTTCCTGAAAGATAAGCTGCCAGTTGAAAAACTTACTACATCCTGATTCCTATGGCTATAAGAAATTATCTGATCATTATAAAGGATGGACTAAATTAAAGCCAGGTTGTTTGTTTGTTTGGTTGGTTGTTTTTTTTTTAGTGAAGGAATTAATACATATCCTGGAGGAAGAGATTCAATATGACTAAGACATGCATGAATCCGATCTGACTTGTTAGCATTGCAGGCAGAACAGTAAAAAGAAATTCAGGGTGCCTACTTTTGTAGTAAACATCCCTAGGTTGAGGAATGTATTACTTCTGCACAAGGTCTAGTCATTTATTATCTAATCTTTTCCAACTTCTGGTGTTAAATGTTAAGAAAAAGATTAATACTGTATTTTTTCCAATTAATCCAACTCAGTTTGGGACTAAGGTGACTCATAGCAGAGTGCTTCTATGTTCAGAAAGAAAAATAACTCTACCTTTTGACACCAGAAAAGAAGAATTATGTTATTCCACAGAAGTTTTGGACTACATAATTCTGTGTTCCTGACTTTGCAATAATTTAAAATCTATCTTTCCTTTCCTGGTATTCAGTGTCTATATTTTAAAAGGATAATGCAAGTAGCACTAGTGCAGATGATGTCTGACATCCTCTGCCTTCTTCTTGTTTTATTAGACCCTGAAGATAAATAGTGGTTGCTCATCAATAGAACATTGCCTCCAGTGGCTTCAAGTATTTGAGCACCTGTTGATCAGGTAAAGTGCAGATAATTTCACAGGAGATGTTTGAAAGTCCCCACAGTTTAAAGTCAGTTCTGGATCAGCGTCACTATTTCTACAAGGACTATTAGCTACAATACCTCCCCCTTAAAACACCTAAGAAAATTTAACCAATAATTTCTGCAGTTCAGGCTTTCTTTTAAGTAGTCCATCTACATTGCATGATCAATAGATTTCAGTTTCTGCAATGTCCAACTGTCTTTTACAATTACAAGGCACAATATGAATTATCAATTTAATTTCCCTAGTAGACATTTAGACCTGATAAGTAGCATCTGACAGTTTCACCCCAGTTTTTTAAGTCAGTTCAATTTCTGAGTAAGGTCAATCGGTGATTTAATTAAGCTAGTAATATGGCATTATCATTTTTGAGTACACTGAAGGAGTATTCTCCTCTGATACCCCAAGTAAGATTTTACATCCTGTGTGGCCCTTCTTAGGCATTTATCTAAGTGGATGTATAAGTCTGTAATAATAAATCACTGCCCAGAGGCAGTGGTCCATCTGTCCCTTCTTTAACCAAGAAGATGCTATTTTAATGGGCAAGATGCCTTCAGCGAGAAGCCAGCAGCCATGGAAGTCTTAAGAGCTGGCAAAGGGCGGGCTAATAAAATACTGCAGGTCTATAGCTGATGGTCTGTTTTTCCCAGGCAGAAACTGGTGACTCCTCATTTGACTTGAGTGATGGTATGAATGGTTTAATTTTTTTCTCCATTCAAATTCCCTTTTAAAGGATTGATAGAAGTGTTCACTGATGCTAGTTCATTTGGAAATGAGTACTTTGTGAAAGCCAGAATCCATAATGGTAGTGGAAAAAGAAAAATTCAGAACTGCAGCTACCTCTCTTGTTGGGAGCTTCACTGTTTTGGGGAAAATATTAAAAAGAGGGATTCTTTGCCTGCAGTAAAGTAGCTGGGGCCTCAGCAGCAATTTCACATTATCCATCTTGTTCATACGGCTATGTGAGGAAAATAATAGTTAGAAACATACTTTAGGATCCATTCCAGCTCCATGTGGCAAAAGCTCAGAGAGACAATGAACATGTGAGTCAGTACAGTGGTAACACTTACAAAGGAGGGTGAACAGTGTATTTGATATATATATATATATATCTCAAATATATCAAATATATCAAATTTGTATTTGATATATATATATATATCAAATATATCAATATATATCAAATATATCAAATAACAGTGTATTTGATATATATATATATATATATGCTATATAAGCAGGCATTCTCCATAGCAAAAGCAGTGTTTCAACTGCTTCAACGCTTCAATCAAGGGTCAAGATCCAAAGTTAAATAGAAGCCAAAGAGGGCAGCTACTGCAGAAGCCTGACAAACAAACTGTTGCATGCCTTAACAGAAAATGTCAGTGAGTTACCATTGCCTATATGTTTTGCCAGCTATGTTTTTGAGTACCAAAGAACTGTTCCATTTTTCAGTACTTCTGCCCCTACATAGGAATACTAGAAATGCAGGTGCAGCATATCATAGGGGTTCAAGTGGCTACACTGGAGCAACAATATTAAGCTCCTATCACACCAGATGATCAGTGAATGTTTCCAGAAGTATCACCTGTTTTGTAAAGCAAGGCATTTACACAGAAAATTACTGCTCAGTATATTATGGCCTCCAGGTAAACTGACTAGGACAGAGGTATGTTGCAAATTAGCTCTCCTATGACACACAGCACTAGAAAATGACATCATTATCCGTTCTAAGTACATAAATTACATGTACAATCGTACATCAACTCACTTGCCTATAGCTGCATCACAGATATTGGAGCTCTACTGTCCACTAAACGCAAACTAAGTTCCCCGTCATCCTTGTGAATCTCTTTCTCTGCCTGCCATCCCTTCCCAGTTTAATGTGGGCAACACCGCAACAGGATGGAACTATTAATATCTTGTTATATTTCTCATAGGAAGAATATGGAACAGATAAATAGGAACAATATTATCATAAAGTCATCTAGGATTAGCCTAGCTGCAATTACTGATAACTCCAATATCATAAGATTTGCCTTTCTCACAGTTATAATCAAGGTGACTGAGCTGTGAATCTCTTCCTTGTAGTATTGGAAAGATAGGAAAAATGAAACTTTCACTACAGGAATGAAAGCAAACGAGGGAGGAAAAGAAGCGAGAGCCACTTTAATGTTAACAGTAAAAGCAAAATTATTCCAACTCACTGT